GCCCCTTTCCCCGACCTGATGCCTCGGGTGCGGGCGGGTCTCTCCTCGTCAGCCGTTGTAACTGCTAATAAGGTGCGCGATCAGGTAGTCCGAGCCTTACGGCTGATAACCAGTTGAAATGCCCAAAACACAAGCGATTCAAGTGAATCGAGCAAATGGCGCCAGCGAGTGCAATCACGCTTTTCACTCAGCCTTGAGCCAAATGTATTGGCAATGGAATTCTCATGCACTACACCCGAAGAGGAAGTTAAAAAGGAACATAACCCCTGAAAAGTGGGTTTGTTCAACTGTTGACGTGGAAGGGAGCAAACAAAATACATGTTGGCAGTTACGTGGCGATTTCCCACTAAACCACAAAAAGCAAAAATGTAAAATGTTTCCCAACGACAACCATGACCAGGAACCCAGGACATGTTGAAAATGATGTGATTTTTTTGTCCCCTGGCGTTTGCGAAGGAATGGTCCCCAAATGTCAGTGACAGGAGGCTCCAGGCTCCAGTGTCAAGCGGAACGGGCGAGTGACCCGAAGGACCAATTGATTCGGGTAAGTGGAATCTGGGGCAGTTCTTCCAAGGTGCTTAATTACCGGGGCCCAAACGAGCACATGGGAATCCGATGCTCAAGGAAAGCCTGAGAAGGAAGAGGAAACTGCGCAGGTACAGTCTGGGTAGAATGTTGGCGCCGCTGGCAAACGGAAAGATCATGTTTTGAAGTGGCCAACCCCATTTGCCGAGCTTCTTGAGTGGGTCAAGTTCCGGAACTCGGCGAGCGAGTGCTGCACTTCTTATCCGAGAATGGTTGGGGCTCCCTATAACTTCCCTCCCATCACAACCACAAGGAAGGTTACTTCAAGTTGGCCCGAGAGGTGATACTGACAGCTGCCCAAATGGGAAACAGGGCTGTGGGTCAAAAATAGGTACCCTAAGTGGAACCCTGGTAAGTCGAAACATGGACCAAAACCTGTGATCCCCTCGTGGTTTAATTTTGACCCATACCCATGTAGGGAACCCTGGCTTTGACTCACAGGTCGATTCGCTCTGAGCAGGGGCGAACCTCCAGCTGGAAGCTCGCCTGCGGCGATGCCTTGGCAAAGCTGAAAGCAACCGCGTGATGCGGACAACGCCCAGCCAGGCCCAAAAAAAGAAGCGGAGAGCCCATGTACCTTCAACCCAGAAAAACCTCGGGTTCAAACCTGTAACTTGATAAACTTCAGCCTGAAAAACCTTGGTCAACCTGAACAACCTCAACCTTCAAACAGGTCCTTTGCTCAGCGCTCTAGTCAACCGCAAAGATGCCTCTGATCCCCAACGTTGACCCAGCAGCCACGGAAACTCGAGAGGCAAGGTTCTTTTGGATCAAACGCCCCGTCAGGTTCCGTGGCCAGAGGGCTCCAGACGATTTTCGGGAAAATCGATGGCCCTGGTAGTTGATTGAACTGCCGGGTAAACCAGGGCCGTCTATTTCTAAACCAAATCAACCAACAAAAAGACACCTATGGCACCCGAAGGGAACTTTGGGAACCGAATTGAGAAGGGAACCTAATTCGGAACATGGTGCAGCATAAGGGACTGAGACATAGGCTGGGTTCTTGGGCACTATTGAAGCGAACGCCGTGGGTGTAAACATCTAGTCCCTTACTTTATAAGGGTCCGAAACAAACAAGAATTGAGAACCGTTTCATGTTAGTGGGAAGTAGGGAACCACATTGCCCCTTGGTGTTTGGCACATATTAAAGGAACCTAGTTGGGAGAGTAAACAAGCCCAAAAAGAGCTTAGACTCTTCCCGTTGAGTGGGGAAATCAGTGCCCATAAAGCTAAGGTTCAAGCGAATAGCAGCCAAGTTAACCCATCATGGCAAAAAAACGAAAAAAGAGGTCATCATTTCGCCCCTTGGAGCCTTGGAGCCTTGGGGTCTTCCTGCCCATCCCGGCTTTCGGGGGGATTTCTGGGTTGCGGCCTCCGCCTCACGCGGCAAGTGCCACTTCACTCCCGGGTCGGGCACGTGCAACCCCACAGCTCCCAACCTCCAAGACTTTGAGCGACGATACACAGGTTCATGTGTGTCACTCGGGCGGTCTCCCCCCCAAAAATGGTGAAGTCCATGAACTTAGAAAGCGAGTTTCGGGGAAGCCACATTCTCAGCTCCCAGCCTGCGCGCTCGATGAATTGCCGCCCATGGCGGTGGAAGAAAAAACGTGGACGATGACTCGCGCGCGGGACGCGCGGGCGCCCGGGGCGGAAAGGAATTCGGGGCTGCAGCCGCAAAGCGACGTTGGCTGATTTTGCCGTGGGCGGTTGCGAAATCCATTTTGCACCACCGCTCAGAAACTGTGGGTTTCTGATGACCCCCAGACAATGCTTGCAACCCTGGCTTCATTTCTTGGCGCGAAGGGATTTCACAACCATCCACAGTGTGAACGCCAGCAACTTACCCCATGAGTGGGTTGGTCACGCATCAAGTCCAAGAGTTGTTGCTGGGCTGTCCTCGGATCCCCTGCTCAAAGTTTGACTTCTAGTGGGGTAAATGTAAACCAACCACTAACCCCCCCCCCAAAAAAAGAAGAAGAAAAAGAGAACTAAATGCTAAGGGAATGGCTGGGAACCACCAAGGTTGCTTCTGTTTCTTACAATGATGGACGGTTGTTGCGTTTACCTCTAGGCCCCCTGAACTTGGCAGCACCCTTTGGCTCATCAATGGCTTGCCGCCGATTTCTGGGAGGCCGGCCCCCAAACATCGGCCGGCGTTTGTCCGTGCCTATCCTCACAACCGCCCCGGCTGCTCCCGATTTGAAACCGATCCCCCAACACGGATCGGCAGTAGCTGGAACCAACCATCACCCCTTTGTTTCCGTTGGGAAACGCCAGAAAGAAAAGGCGGACGAACTACGTAAAGCCAATATACAGTAAGATACAAGCACTGATAGCCATGTGTGGCTTGTACACCCTGGGTTGGTTGAGCTGACCCACATGAGATATAAGCTGCCCCGCAAAAGGAATCAAACGCGGTTTACGTCGCCATCCTTCGTGAAGTCGCAATCATTGGCCCAGATGCTAGTGGATGGCACTATATTTGCTATACATCAGGAACACTTTGGCCGCTAAAGCTAACGTTCGTGTTGATGAACCCTAGGTTTCTTTGAATTCACCTCCTGAGAGATGGCCCAAACAAGTCCAAACTTGTTGTTTGCCACCAACATGGCCTTCCCAACAGTATGAAGTCCAGCCACTCAGGGAGTGAGGCAACAATCATGGCTTGGTGAGCAGCCGCCATCTTCCAAAAGATGCTTCCCTTTGCTCAATGCTGTTTCTTTGTGGGGTGGCAAAAAACACTCAAATGAAAAGCCCCCCCCCGACCCAAACATCACATATGGTTTCTCGCTTGCGGCGCCAATTTTCGACAGGAGCAAGTCACAAACCTGGCACGGATTGAGCCAGGGTGAATACCACTTGTTTGCCTCAGGGAACACCCTCCGTATTGACCCAGGTGTGCTAATCAACTGGGTTCCCAAATGATCCCAATATCCATGCTCTTGAGTGTCCTTGGGACTGCCCGTCCTTAGTCACAGCCACGCAGGTTTTGCCCACCGAGGTTATACGCCATTGACAGCGTTGAGAAAGTGCCTTTGGTGCGTTTGAGGGTCTGGGGCAATCGTGGGCTGTTGGGGATTTCTTGAACTTCCGGCCGCAGTGACGCAATAGACAGCAGGGTCTCGGCAGTGAAACTGCCCAAAACCAAACGGCACACCACATCGATGGTACCAAGAAACACTTCAGCATGTGATCCACGGTAAACAACGAAAACAACTCTTGTGGGTCATGGTCTTCGGTCATGTCGCCCTTGTCAGGAATCGCTCGGGCCGCCTAAGTCCTGCATTTAGCGAATGATTGGTCACCCAGACCCCAACTAGGGCCCGAACCATGGGAAGCCAGCGACTTTTATTTTAGCCCCGAAATGGCCATGGGCTGAGTAACGATCTGCGCACAAATGCACTTACACAACCAAATGAATATATATATATATATAGTATATACAAATCAATTGAAGTATGGATTCGGCCATTGATACTTGCAATGCTACTGAATAGGTTGTCTGGAAAAAGATCCCTGAAATCAGGCTAGACAAATCCGCCGACCCTCTGCCTCCCGTCCCAGCCTCCTGCAGAGGGGACCGGCGTGGGATGCAACTGGAAGTGATTGGAATCAATCATAGTTTCTGGGGGACACGCCCGAACGCACGAAAAGTGGATTTCTAGGACCGGTCCCGGGACCGGTCCCGGGACCGGTCCTGGGACCAATCCTGGGACCGGTCCTGGGACCCTGGGACCCTGGTTCTGCTGTTTCAGATTACTTGTAGTCAGCAAAAACCGGTCCTGGGACCGGGCCTGGGACTGGTCCCAGGACCAGTCCAGGACCGGGGTTTGGTCCTGGGACCGGTGCCAGGACCGGTCCTGGGACTGGTCCTGGGACTTTTCAGGACTGAAGCCGGTCCGGGATGGAGTCCTGCCACCTCAAACCGCTCCAGACGCCTTTCCGGACTGGCACCCGTGTTTCAGGACACTGCGAGACTGGGACCTGCCGGCGACCGGTCCAGGGCAACTTCGGGAGGGCCAGTTTCAGGGCGCTCCCGGGCCAACTCGAAGTGACTTGGGCGCAAGCCGGCCCAAGCGGTAATTAACGGACTAGCTGCCATATTTCTGACTTTTCCGTTAACCCTTGTTTGTGGTCGTAGAGGATCTTATAAGTGGTCCCACGTGTTTCAGGACCGGTCCTTGTGACTTTTCCCTTAATGCGCCGAGGGTCGGCGGCAGCAGGCGGGAGCCTGGTTAATAAATAACTTGGGGTGCGTTTTGAGGGACCCCCAGCCCTACACAAAAAACAAAAACAAAACGGCTTCGGTTCTCCTCTTTTCCATTGAAATTCATCCCAAACATACCCTGAAAAAAGACAAGCCACCCATTTTAGCACCCAGCGCACTTGCCGCGGGCTGGGTCTGCAACCCGCCTCACGCATCTCGGGTGCTGGCACAGTGCCAAACATCAGTTTGATTGCCTCAGGCCGGGAGTGAGGGCCACTTCTTCGAGGATCCCCTTCAAATGGGTGTGTGTTGTGTCGCTTTGAGGGTACCCTGTTTTGGGGTGGTTTAAAGGGAAACCAAAAGGAAGACCACCATTATTGGATCATTGGGGGTCCACCCCCAAATAGACAATTCGGCATTTGTGTCAGAGCGGTTGCAATTCCTTGAGCCTGAGGGTTGTGCCGTCGTTTTGAGGGGTCCAAAAGGGGCTTCAGAATTCTTACCGAGGGTTCCTTGTTGGCACAACTCTTATTCGGGTTTGTCATACAAATCGGGGGAGGAAAAAAACATCTGACAGGCTACATGACAGGGAACCGCCAAGATCTCAAGTTGCTACGGCAGAATCACAATGTGTACTGGGTTGCCTTTGGCATCGAAAGGGCTTTCAACATATGGCTGCGGGTCAAAAATGGGTACACAAAATGGAAGTCTGGTAAATGGAGCCAAGGAGTAAAACCAGTGGTTTTTTGGTGGTTTAATTGTGACCCACACCCATACGGCTGACTCAGCACACATAGGGCTAACTGAGACAACAACACACGGGTGCGTCTGCTCTTGCCAAAATGGCGGAGATTATGGATGCGCTGCCACCGGCAAACATGCACCCGAAATAATCAGCTCGGCAAATGCAACAAACCAGGTTTGCTTGCCCAAAGACGAGCGAAGTGCGCAATTTTACCCAAATCAGCCAAGCAATCTGCCACATTTCGGGTCCTCACCCCCATTCCCTACAGGATGTGCCCATTCGGCAGCTCCAATGTTTCTACCCCAGTTTTTCATCCCCAAACCTGTGTTTGGACCCAGCAAGCGGGAGAGGCTAACCGATTTGTCAAAAACTGGTTGCAGTTGGGAAAAGCAGGGCCATAAGCACCAATCCAAGTCGCCACCTGTTTGAGACAATCAATTTTTTTGGAGGGGAGCAACATGTCCCCCCCGAGCCATGACCAACTACATCCCCAGTTGATGTTGCCAGTAAAACCTGCAGCTGTAAACCCCAAAATCGGTAGGTGACGGATCGGGTGCCCTTGGCAAAGGCTGCCCGAAAAGCCCGTGGAATAGAAAAGGTCTGGCTTACCCTCCTGCCCCACGAACATGGAATCTGACTGAAGGCTCCTGTAAGACAATTGTCCTTGAAAAAGAAACAATGTTGGTGGACTCCATGTTAGTGGACTGGAAGAACCCTGGTAGCTTCTAGGCAATTAAGGTTTTCGGGCGCCCCTGTCAGCCGCAAAAGCAAAAAGAGCCCACAGAATTCTGCGGAGTGGCTGGAAGCTTGCGGCGTTGACTCACCGCCTCAGCTTGACCAACTCGAAAGCGCTTTCCGAAAACGAGCGAGCCGCGGCTTGCCCCGACAGCTGCAAGCTTTGGCTTGGTTGCTGTAACGACCCCTCGCAAAAAGTTTCAACTTTTGGTGGGTCCAATTCGGAACATCAACTGCTTCCCAAAGATCCACCCGAATAGTTAAAGTCCAGAAATCCACCCGAATAGCCATAAAAATGGAGCGCCTTGGAGTCCTCCCTTCCGCGGATTCCCCCAGTTCAGGACACGCACATTTAAGCCGCTCCGGAAAAAACTAAATCTAGATGGTACCCCCAGCAGCCACGAAACTTGCTGGAACCGAATCTCCTTTTCAACCCTTCCTGAAAGTTGCCCCAAACAACCCCAGAGCCTATTTGGGTCTATCGACCCCATAGCTTACAGCTGTTGGGGAAAGACGCGGGTCTCGTTTTGTGCAAAGGTCTCATGGCT